GCCCGACCCGCTAGCGACACTCGAAGAACCAGACGCCACAGACGGGCTCGACATACCGCAATACTGTCAAAATATTATCAATTGTTTTATCAAATTAAATTACTTAATTTTGACATTTCAAAGTCAATATATTGTTTAAGTGTTCTGAGCAGGAATATACGAGGAGTACATACCTTAGGGTAGTAGTGCTGCATGAACTCGTATATGGCGGGGTCCTCGAGGGAGTCGCGCTCGTCCAGAAGCACGGCGTCCACGTACTCCGTCACCACCGCGCACTCCAGCAACATCTCCTCCAGCTTGGCATCCGCCTGCACAATCAAACAACACATGTATATTTATTGTTATGAATATACAAATTCAAACTTGCACACAAAAATCCAGCACGAGCAAAATATTTAAGTATGTAAGAGAGTTGAGGATACAAAGTGGGTAGGTTGAGTTACGGTATTACCGGTGTATTGGCGACGTCGCGCCAGAAGGCGGCGAAGTAATTGAACTTGAGCGGCGCCGCCTCCAGCGCGCACAGCGCCGACAGTAGCACCAGCTGCTCCGACATGCAGCGCTGGTTGCGCGCCACTCGGCAACACGTATCTGAGACAAATAATACACATTATATTTATAGTATGTCAGATATTATAAAGCTCGTATAAACTTAATAATGTTTTAAAATGTGCAATTAACCTATAAACTTGTGGTAAGGTCTGTAAACGGGCGCGAGTGGTGTGTGAGGTTGCGCCGCAGTGCGCGTGGTGCAGTGCGCGGCGAGCGGCGTGCGCGTCCTCGGGCGAGCTGCGCCGCGCACCGCCGCGTGCGCCCCCGCCGCCAGCGGCACCAGTGCACCCAACGCAGCGCCGCCACCTATCAACACCAACTCACGGAGCACGCCTGCAAACATTTTCAAATTATACATTAACACACTGTGTAAGACTTCACAAATTTCAAATCTCTGTTTAGTTTTATTTAATGATGAGCTGTCGCCCGCAAACTTCGTTGGCACGGATTAAAAAAAAGTCATCTATCACATTCCCGCGTGCATCTACCTTCTACCAGTCAAAGTCTTGTCCAAATCGGTCCACCCGTTCCAGAGATAGCTGTAAGGGCGCCATTTTGACAGCGTGGAATTTTAAAAAAAGTAGCCTATAATATGCGTGTCTATGTCAGCTATTCAATAGAAGTCCGGTCAAAATGGGTCTAGCCGTTTCGGAGATTACCCGGAACAAACGCGGCTTGCAGACAGACAGACAGATAAAAAAAAATTAAATGCGATTTTCGTTATCAGCAACGCAAATACAACATCTTCCCGAAATCTGGGAATTTTATCTCTTGATATTACAGACACTACAATTTTATTATATGTATATGGATATATAGATAAAACTGACCAAGTGCCGCAAGCCGCAAATGACTGAGCCGCTGGTGCAGGTTGAGCATGGTGAGCAGCCGCCTGGCGCACTCGGGCCAGTCCTTGCAGGCCAGCAGCAGCGCGCGCGCCTCCTTGGCGTCGCGGCGCGTGCGCAGCGTGCGGCAGAGCGCGCGCGCCCAGCGCAGCGCCGCCGTCAGCTCGGCGCGCACCGCCCCGCCCCCGCCGCCGCCCACGCCGCCGCCCTCCACGTACACCGCGTGCAGGCTGTGCAGCGCCTACGATACCGTGCAACGTTCAACAAACAACTCACAATATGAACAAATAAGAATTAACATTCACCATTTAAACTCACCTCGAAAGTCATTTGCAATCCTCCATTGTACACAACGTACAGTCTGTCGTCTTCGTTCTCCACTAATGTACAGAAAGCTGATATTAACGTCGTCCAACAAGTCCTTCCATTTAAACCTTAAAAACAAAAATAGAATAAAATATATATGAATAAACAGCTTGAAGCAGTTTTGAAGGCCTCGCAACCCTACTCTAGCTCAGTAGCACAAGCGTGAGGAAGTGAATGTTTACCCTGTAAGTATGCAGAGAGCGTGCTGCGACGGAAGGCGGCGGCCTCGCGGCTGTCCACGCCCTCGCTGCCGCTGCTGCCCGAGCCGCCGCCGCGCGCCGCCAGGATGCGCGCCAGTCTGCAATACAAACATACAAAACTCCAGTACACAATAAACACTTGAACACAAATCTACTGATATAGATACAAATGTTTGGATGGATGGATGTTTGTTAACACGTCTGTATGGATTCGGATGAAATTTGGTGTAGGTGTAGAACAGTCTGAAAGTATACATAGGTTATTTTTTTTTATTTCTACGTGGACGGAATGAAGGGACACAGCTAGTAAATGTATATAAATAGTACGTATAGTATACCTGAGGAGTTCGTCAGCGGCGCCAGGGTATAGATGCGCGTGCGGCGCGATGTTGCGGAAGGCCCAGTGCACGTTCTGGTGCTGCGCCAGCGAGCGCGCGAAGGCGGCGGAGCGCCGGCAGCACAGCCGCAGCAGCGCGTAGTACGGCGGCAGCATCGCGCGGTTGTACGCTACCACCTCGCCATCCTCATGATCAGCGCTAAAACAACAATTTGATTAGATTGCTGAAATCATTATTTTATATCTGAATTTTGCATGAATTAAACGATAAGTAAGTCTCACACAAAGATATTTAAGAAATATATAGACTGGACATAGGGAACAACATTTTTTCAGAGGTATTTTTTTTGTACGGTAATATCTCAATGTAAAATTTGACACGCCGAAATATTTGTAAATGTTGGAATTCTTTGTTTGCTTGTGATTTTGACTTTAAGTCAAAGTTCAAGTCCCACTATGGCTACTCTATATATGTTTTGAATCTCTTTGTTCTTACAGTATATAGTTGAATGCGATGTGCTTGATGAGGCGCGGGTTGGCGATAGCGAGCTGCACATTCTCTGGGCAGTCGATGCAGACGGCGTGCCAGAAGGTGAGCAGCGCCTGCTTGTTGGGATGCACCGCCACAGAGGGCTCGCTGATCGACGGATGGTACAGATCCCATAGATCGTTGAAGTACTGACCAAACTGTAAACATACATTACATAAAGAATAAATAAAAATAAAAAGCTTTTATTGTTTCCTTTCAATTCAATTTTTATTACATTTTCTTCTTACGTTTCAACACTTTTTTCTATTTATATTGCTAATATATATTTATTTATATAACTTTGTTTTTGTTTCTTACTGCTTTTCAGTTAAAAGGACCGCCTAGCGCGGTAAAAGCCTCCTCGATTTGTTGCCATCCATCTCTGTCTCTAGCTAATCTACTCCAGGTTTTACCTACTAAGCTTGTTATATCGTCGTCCCATCTCTTACGTGGCCTACCTGTTCTCCCTGTCTTGTGTATTACCAATTTGTCCCCGTTTTTGTCTTTCATCCTTTGTACATGGCCTACATAGCATACATTATACATAAAATAAACATCAGTAGTTAAAACAACTTGATAAATTCTTTAAAAAGTTAGGTACCATAAGTTTCTCAACGCGACTGACGACACAGTACGACATGACGCCGAAGTAGGCGGTGAGCTTCATGGTGCCGTGCACCGCGATGTCCGTGTACTTGCGCGCCGCCTTCAGCTTGCCCAGCAGCATCGTATACACCTGATACAGAACAAAACATTTATAGTTTATGAGAGAGAGAGAGAGAGAGAGAGAGAGAGAGAGAGAGAGAGAGAGAGAGAGAGAACAATAGATGACGCTTTTAAAAACAAACGTTATAACAACAACAACTTCCTGAAATAGACTGAGATCCCAGTGCTGGCAGACGAAACTTACATTCCCAAGCTTAATAGTTATATGATTAGACAGTACTTGTTTGTATTATAACTGAATGGCTATGCTAAAGTCGGAAAATTATATGTTCACTTATTTTCACAAAGCTGATTTTCACGTCTGTTGAAGAATATTGTAAGAATGACTAAATATATACTGCCAGTCAATTTCTATGGTCCGTTTTCGGAAACAGACGCTTTAAAGTTACTATCTAATCTATATCAATATATAAATCTTACTTCTTACTAATATTCTAAATTAATATATTAGACGGATGTTTGTTAGAGTTTGTAGTCTAAACGACTGAACAGATCTCGATGAAATTCACATAGATGTAGAGGATAGTCTGGAAGAACACATAGGATACTAACTTATGTTTTTTGAACTCTACGCAGACGGAGTCGCGGGCGAATGCTAGTATGTCATAAACTTATAAAACAAAAGACTCCGTGCGTTAACCTGATGCAGCGTATGATGCGCCGTATCTGGCAGCTTGGCGAGGTGGTGCGCGGGCGCAGGCTGCGGGCGCGTGCGCGCGTACCCCGCGCGGAAGTGCTGCGAGGGCACCAGCGCCACCAGCAGCAGCGCGGCCGCCGCGCGCACCCGCGCCGCCGCCGCCGCCAGCAGCTGCGCCTCCACCCACCGCTCCGCCGTGCGCAGCGCCCACGCGTGCGCCGCCTTGTTGCGAGGTACCTGTGTACACACATAACATACAATACGTACAACTAAACCCGACACACTAAACGTTTCATTAGAAGAATTGATCACACATCTGTTTCGCTTGTTATATTCTTATTGTATGTGGATAAAAACCCTTACATGTAGACCAAGAAAGAGATGGATGGATTGCGTTAAAGGTGACATTATCAAAAAGGGAGTGATGACTGAGATCACGTCTGATAGAGATATGTGGGGGACAAAAACCTTTTGCGCCAACCCTACGGGACTAGGATAATGAGGAAAAGGATGTGGATAAAAAATCTTAAGCAAGTTTTTGCTCAGAACACAATTTTCTACGTAGCAAGACGTTTTGGGATGGTGTAAAGACCGCACAGTTCATATTTTCCCTAACTTAGGTCTTTCTATCAATATAAAGGATTTTAACTTTGGGCCTTCAAGATATTTGATAAGAACCGTAGATGTACCTGTAAGGCGAGCCACTCGAGGGCTGCGTGCGGGCAGACGTCGGCGGCGTCCCAGAGGCGCGCCAGCACCAGCTGCGTGAAGCACGGCAGGCCGCCCTGCGCGCCCGCGCCGCCCCCGCTGCCCTCCACCAGCAGCGTCAGCAGCTTGAACAGCGCCCCGCAGCTCTGACACAATACGATTACTACCTCATCGCCCCAGGTTTAAAGCTAAATTATCTTAATTTATTGTAAGGCGTATTTTTTTGTGATAACTGAGGCATAATACTAACTTCTGAATGTTTAGCGATCGCTTGAAATATCATGTTGACGATCTTCTGCGCGAGCGACTCGTTCCAGCGGCAGAGAGCGAAGATAAGCGACCGTGTCTGTTGCAAGTTTAAACAGTCTCGAGTCTGTTGGTAGATAAAGGGAAACCCCTGCACAAACAAAACATTACATATTAAATAACGCCCTCAAGTTAACAATTTAAGTTGGATAAGAAGGAATACACTTCCATTTTAATCAATACTATCATTTGATTTGTAAAAATGGGTCAGGTCAATCGCCCCGCGCTGCTACCAGTATGGTTTACTATGGACAGCACCTCAGTAGTGAGGTAAATGAGCTGATGATGATCTGATCTAATATCTAAACACATAGTTTATAAGTAGGCATATCAAGTATATAATGTACACACCTTGGCATGAAGTAAAGCTCGTGCATCAGACTCTGGCAGCGCGAGATGTCCGCTGGCATCACGCGAGCGCTCCACCAGTCCAGCGACCAGCGCCACCATCTTGTCGAGTGCGCCGGGCCGCAGCTTGTCGCCGCTCTCCACGCCGCCCCCGCTGCCACTGCCGCCGCTGCCACCGCTACCACCGCTACCACCGCTGCCGCCACTGCCCCCGCTGCCGCACGCCTCCTCGCACGGGGAATCCGCCTGATATATTAAAAAAAAGATAAACCATAATATACTACAAAATAGAAGATACTTAGAGCCTGTCACACAATTCTTAAACTTCTTCTTCAGATAAAAAACATGTGACAAAATGTGATGAAAGTATCGGATCTTGGTACTCTATCTGACAGTGACGTCACTTTTAAACTACCTGAGCCACTATCAGCCAGTGGTGGGATAGCTCCTTAGTCTACTAAAAGAAGTATAAAACTCAAACACAGTCTTCTTTGTTATGTAGCTTGTCAGTAATCGCAGGATATCTTTGAATACACTTTCTTTATTTTGACATTTGAAATTGAATATTTTACCAAAAGTAAAACAAAATAATTTTTCTATGGTGGATGAAGCCGCACGGAAGCCACTAGTTTAAATGATAAGGTAACTCTCTCATAACCCACCGCGGCAGAGTTCTGTCCTAGGTAAAAGCTGACCATGCTGGATATGGCGTTGATACGCAGCATGAACTTGCCCTCCTCTTCCCCCATCTTGCTGAACTCGTACAGCAGACTGAAGTACTCCGTCAGGTGGCGCAAGTGAGACCTCGCACCGTTCTCCATCTGACAACATCAACATATACCAAAACAAATGTAGACATTAAACCATCATTTATAGGTTAAAATTTAATTACAATGAAAAAACAACAATACAAGATCTTAAGAGTAAAGCTTTGTCATTTATCTTACTGATATTATAAATGTAAAAGTTTAGATAGATGGATGTTTATAGAGTTTGTTGCCTAAACTGCTAAACGGATCTCAATAAAAAGCATAGTCTGGATGAACACATAGGATACTCCTGTTTTTTTAAATTCCACGCGGACAAAGTCGCAGGGGAAAGCTAGTCTTAAAATAATCAGTTATATACTTACCAATGACAATAACATCCTTATAAACCTAGTAACACAGCTTGCTTCGCCCAGCTTACTGTTATCTTCGCCCTCCTCCACACCCTGCAGATACAGGGCGCAATGACTAGATCTGAAATAAACCAATGCTATTTAGTACCATAGTACTTTGTCATAAAGTCTATTTTTGTTTACAAACACCAATAGCTATGCAGTTTTAAACCTTATTACTTTGTTATAAAGTGCAATATGGAATATTTTAGTAAAACATACCTCAGCCTTTGAATAACATGCATACACAGCCTCTGGAACATCTGACGCACCATTTGATTCGGACATTTTATTAAAACCTGTGAGAACAAAAGAAATAATATATTTTTTTCTTATTTATTCTAATATTTAAATTATAAAGTTTAAATCATAATTATTTAAATTATAAACCTGCATAGGCCACCAAGTATCGTCCGCCATGTGACCAAGAAACCACTCGGAGGCGGCCGCAGACGCGTTGAATTGCTTCGTCACCAGCTCCACCCATGACACCATTGTCGGCTAGAATAACCAATATGTTAGTATAAAAACGCATGATAATTTAAAATGCCACGCCTGTTACAGAATGTGGTAGGAAGAGATAAAAAATTTCGATTTGTCACATTCTTCGTCTCTCCCTTTGGACATATATCTAGGCGTACAATCTCGTAGGGTATATGACCTCTATATAACTTGACTTTACTTTATGAGTAATCTGATCAACATTTCTGGGTTTATTTTTGGAAAACCAAATTCACTATAATTATTTAAATTTATAGCTGTTTTATTACCTTTTCCTTAGCATGTATAAATGTTTCAATAAAGAAGGATGTGGAGAGCCTCGCGGCGAGCTCGGTGACCTCCGGCCGCAGCGTGAGCAGCGACTGCGGCACCGAGCTGCACATCTGCCCCATGAACCTAATGGAAGGACAAACAATGTCAAAAATCTGCAAACACAAATATTAACATTATAACAATTGGTTTCTAAAGGGCTACATAACAATGAGTACAAAATTACTAAAAAATATTTTCACTAAGTGATTAAATTATTTTGTAATAGAATTAAATAATACAACCATTTCCACCGATAATAATGAAGGCATTTTTCATTTCACCACCATAAATTAGAATCGTATGTATCTATACTAACATTATAAAGAGGAAAGATTGTTTTATATATTGATTTTTTTTATTTGTACGTATACAAATAACTTAAAAACTACTAGACAGATTACAAAATTCTTGCATCATTGCTATGTTATCACAGAGTAACGTAGACTATATTTTTACTATTTTTTAAAATTTCACTTGAGCGAAGTAACAACAGCTGGTACTTTAGAAAGTTGTTTAATCTATGATACTAACGTGAAATAAGCGTGCTGGAATATATTCTTGTCATGTAGGAACTGCATGTTGTCGTCCCAGATCCACTTGAGCAGGTCCGGTGGGAAAGTGACGGGTGGCGCCGCCCCGCAGCGCCGCTCCAACTGCTCGCTTGTACTCGCGCTGCATTCCTCCGCAGTCGACGACTGAAAACACCATAAGTTGAAGACATTTAAGACAGATATAGACTAGACGTAGTAAACAAAATTTTTACACTGGTGACTTCTTTGATACGCACTATGTTATTGTGAAGTTCAGTAGGCCAACTCATATCATTGTATTACAAAACATTTTACAAAATTATAATGAGTACCATATTTTGTTCTAAAATACACTAAATAATGTTACAAAATAAAGTATAAACATTGAAATATTATTTAGTGACAAAAACACTAACATGTGGATTTGAGGACCTAGTAATAGATAGCGTTAGGGAGGATCGAGTTAAAACATGTCAAGTAAAGTGTTACCATGCTTCCTCTGTATATTTTTGAATCACTTTAATTACACTTAAAATTATCTTTCGTGCGATGTTCAAAACCACCGATAGATTTGAAAAATACCTGAGGTTCATCAGGTCCACCGCTGTCACTAGCACGCGCCGGCCGCGGCGGACTCAGCTCGTAGAACAGCATATACGCACTGTTCGTCTTCTCAAACGAGAAGTCCATAAACTTGTCCGTCACCGAGTCGTACGTTTTACTCTGAAACAACAAATGAAAAACTCAATTAAAATAAAATGTAAAACTGAGTGTACTAGTTTGCTTTATTAGTAAAAAACGAAATTAAAACTGAAAACAGAGAAATGTTATACTAATATTAAATGCGTAAAAAAAGTTTAGATGGATGGATAGATAAATGGATGTTTGTTATAGTTTGTGTCCTAAAATGTACAAATTTCGATGATTCAATATAGATGTAGAGGATAGTCTGAAAGAACACATAGGCTACTAACTTTTTTTTATTTTACAGAGAGTCGCGGGCAAAAGTTAGTGAATCTATTAACATTAGTAGTACAGTATACATACGGTCATCTCGCCTCCGAAGCACTCAGCAGCGATATGCGCGGGGTCGAATGGCTTGACCTCTGCGTCATTGAACAGTAGCCAGCGGTCCGCGTGGTCGCGGTCGCGCTCTCGGATGAACGAGTAGTAGTGCCCGCCATCCGCCGTGCCCGTGTGCACCGTCACACCGATCAGTTCGTACCTTAAAAAATACTTATTATAGTATACTTAAATAAACTATTACTAGGAATAAAAACCCTTGCCATATTGTGCTAAAATATGGAACTAATTCCTCTGTGTATATTAAAGTGACGTTATAAAGTAGTCGATTGTAGCGCCACAAAGCTAGGTTTTTTTTACTTAAGGTAAGGCACACACTTAGAACTTTTTAATGGTAACAAAATACTGACACTAAACATATTAAAACAAACGCTTTTAATGTATCTTTAGACAAATTTATATTCAGCTATAGGTTTTTGAAATATGTAACTTTGCACTTACTCATAATGTTCTTCAAACTCGGAATTGTCCTCACTCTCCGCGCTTGGACTCCCTTCACAATCCTTCTTTAACTCTTCCGATTTTCTTTTCTCCTCTATAAAAGATTTTTAAATACATTGAAACAAAAACTGTATTTTTTCTCATTCTCTGTAAAAAATGAATCTTTCGTCAGTGTAAAGCGTAAAATAAGGGTTAAACAATTTAAATTATACCTTGGTACTGCGCCGGCATGAGATGTTTCTCCACATATCCTGACATGTCCAGCCTCATCGGGAAGGAGAAGTGAGTGTTGACTTTCTCCTTGAGCATCGTCAGCATATTGAAGGTGTACCTCATCGTGTTGAAGCAGAGTATACGAGGCAGCTTCTTGAAGCATGCCCTATAATGTTGAAATAATTACTGTTATTGCCTTTAGTTCATTAATCTCAAGTTTCTTTTTATAAAAATCACTTTATTCCCGAAAGTTTACTGTGTATACTAAAAGACTAAATTAAAGACACACAAAAACAATAGAGAAGTAATGTGTTTTAAACAGAAATAGTAAACAAAATTGCGATGTTAAAATTAATTTATTAATCACAATAAAACACACAAGAAACAAAATGCGTGTAAGGCTGAATAATTTGTATTTCTAAGTTATTATCTACATTTTATATATTTGTAAATAAATAAAATAAAAGGTGAATATTTGTACCCTTCTACCGTACCTCTTCTCAGCGCGTACTTTGGCGGAGCACTGGGAGCACGTATAGCAGTTGTCTCCCTCCAGCGTGTCCTTGACAGTGACCTCGTCCAAACTCTGGTGCAGGTTGCGCATGTCCGCCACCTGGCACCGCACCGTGTAGAACTCCTCCAGGGTACGGGACACGTGCGAACAGTCCTGATACAATACAGTGTACTAGTATATTTTATTGTTAGAAAAAGTATATTCAATTAATAAAAAAAAATATAAAAAAACCTTATTTTATTAGTCAAGTGTATATTAAAATAAATTATTATTTAATTTAAGAGCTTCTATACGTACCAGTGAAACAACATTGTTGCTGAGCACACCACAGAACAGAGTCTTGACTAACTTCTTAAGTTCGGGCGTCATCTCCTCCAACTTAGACACGAGGTCGATGAAGAACTCCGCCATGTCCTTCTGCTCGCCCGTGTTCAGCGGCTGGTGGTCCATCTGGTAAACTTTGCAGAAGCTACGAGGATTGTAAGCTTTCCTTTCGCTTTCCTAAAACGTGGTAATTATTCTAAAGTTATTAAATTAGTAGATAATAAGTTAAATTTGATAATATAACTGATAGTGGTAGACGTACTAAGAGATGGATGGATTGTGTGAAAGGTGACATGATCAAAAAGGGAGTGATGACTGAGATGACGTACGATATGATATGATGAGTCATGTGGAGGACCAAAACCTGTTGTGCCAACCCTATGGGAGTGGGATAAGGAAGAAAATGATAAATATCTTTGATAGTGTTCGATAACAAATTATATCAATAAGTAAGGAATTAAAAATCAAAGTGTTTAACTAAGAAAGTCATTTAAGGTTACTTCGGCTATACTCTTTTCATGATAATTTGATTTCGAGTGTTGCAGTGTGGCGTTATAAGTCATAACATATTGACCTTTGTTTTTTAGGATCTAAAAATAGATTGCGTTAGTGATGATTATATGAAAAATGTTTGAAGTGAAGCCTACATATACATATATTTCTGACCATGAGATATGCAAACATCCTCTGCATCTCGTGCAGCGTGGCGGCGTGGCGGCTGTGCGCGGGGTCTGCGCCAAGCACGGCGGCGCGCGCCTGCGGCATCATGTACAGGTGCTGCATGCAGGACGCCATGTAGCACGTCGCGCCCAGGTTCGTCAGCCCCACGTAGCCGCACTCCGAGCGGGACTCCTCCGCCGGCCAGTAGTCCCACGGGTAGCCGGACTGAGGACCTGGACAACGGAATACGCAATTAACGCATATTCTATACAGCCACAAAAAATATAGTTAAACGATGTTAAAAAATTATAGTGAAATTTGGAAATATAGCATATGTTACTCGGCGATAACGTAGCTTTTTGATGGTGAAAGATTTTTTAATCGACCAAGTAGTTTTTAAGTTCAATACATATAAAAATAGAAATCATTACTCTTTATAATATTAGTATGGAGTAGCTTTTCCCGCGACTCTATCTGCTTGGAATAAAAAAAATGTAAGTAGCCTATACATTCTTCAAAACTATCCTCTACATATATGCCAAATTTCATAGAGATCAATTAAGGCTACAAACTCGTAACAAACATCCATCCATACATCAATCCATCTAAACTTTTGCATATATATTAGCGGCATTGCTAAGTATCTTTTCTTTTACATTTGACGTTTTTTAGTTTACAAATGTATACAGTATTAGTAGCGTAAGTTCTCACCAGGTTTATGATGTTCCATGAGCTTGTTGTGCAGCACCATGTAGTTGTCGGGCGCCCCGCGCACCAGCTCCACCAGCAGGTCGTACGCGGCCGCGCGAGACTTCTGAGACTTGCATTTAGGTAGCTTGCGCTGCTCGGGATTCGGTACGTCGAATAGAAAGCCGAATACCTGAATAAGAAATAAAATCATACTAATTCATACAAATATTATAAATGCGAAATTTTAGATTGATGGATGTATGGATGTTTGTTAGAGTTTGTAATCTAAATGGCTGAATGGATTTCGATTAAAGGTATAGATGTAGAGGATAGTATGGAAGAACATATGGGCTACTCACTTTCGTTTTTTTTTAATTCCACGCAGATGGAGTCGCGGGTGAAAGCGAGTATTAAATTTATTCATGATAATCAACAACTGCCGCACTCGCAGTTGATTAATCCCTAATATATAAATTTCTCGTACATAATTCACACTAATGGCGACATCTAGCGGCCATTTAATCGATTTTGTGTGCGGCAGTGTTTCCTTTATAAGAACCATTTGTTTTCTTTATATAACACTAGCTGTTGCTCGTGACGTCGTCCGCGTGAAATTAAAAAGTAGTAAAAAACATGGCCTGTGTTATTCACTGATAGCAAGCAGTTTTGCTTATTGTACTGGATTTCGTTTAAATATCAATATGACAACTGTAATAAGTAAAATTGTCTTAATAATAACCATTTCCAATGTCCTAGTCCCCTGCTCCGAAGTCTTGAAGCTGAGCGGGTGCTTCAGCAGATGTGTGAGCAGGCTGAGCTGGCCGTACAGCCCGTCGTCCGGCGCACACGGCTCCGCGCGCTTCTCTATTATCTCTCGCTTCTCCAACGACGACCGGATCTGCTCGCACAGCTCGTTCAGATCCGGAGCACCGCTGTCTTCGGAAGTGGCGCCATCTGATAACACCGATTTTTTTATCTAAAGATATCACTAAAAGTATTTTAGAACTTTATTTGAGTGTGGAAGGGTTATCAGTAAAGGTACACCTAAGAAGTTGGATGGATTGCGTACAATCTTGATGAAGAAGGAGGCACAACTGAGACGACGGAAGATAGATCTATATGGAGGACAAAACCTAATGTGCCATCCCTAAGTATGACAAGATGATATCACTAAAATAACGAATTCAGTGATTCTTAAGACAATTAATATTTAAAATATTGTGTTTACCTTTAAAAAAATCTTCAGGTAGTCCGTCAATGAGCCTACAGACGAGCCAAAAGTAGTCCCGACACGCGGGCCCGTAAGGCTCCTTGCCTTCTTCTGCATGATGATGTACAACCTGCCATTAAAATTGGAAAAAAAAATCCACTTATAATGAAATAAATTTGTGAATATCATTTATACGCTGACGACTTACAGATATATATCTCATTTAAAACAAGCGAACTGGACTCTGCTGTAAGGGCCCTTAATGAGGACCT